AGTTTTTCTTCATTACCCATTCAAGCCGTCTCAAGCCATTATTAGTCTCAAAGTGTGTTCGTCATCATCGAATTTGAAAACTAGGGTTGCATCTACTATACCACAACCGAAAACAAAACAAATATGGGGTTAATGATGTATCTGAGGTCATTGATTGACAACTCTGTTGATAATCTAGATACAATGCAGTGAAAGCAACTCACTGATTTATTGACTGAATATGCCAATGTATTTGTGAGACTAGGTGGCTGACTGGGTTGAACAATGGTGACTGGACACCACATATACACAGTTGATGCTCATTTAATAAAGCAACTACTATGCCAACTCCTGTGGAGCACTAGAGAGGTCACAAGCAATGAATTACAGCAAATTACATAGGAAGAAATCATAATCCTTTGGAAAGTGCTTGGTAATTGTCAAAAAGAAGGAAGGCATGCCCAGGTTCTATGTGGACTTTCAATGAGTAAGTGCAGTAACTCACATTGACGCTGTTTTCATACTGCCGACAATTGAATGTCTGGGTGTATATGAAGAGTCCCATTGCTTTAATACTTTGAATCTAGTGTCTCAATACTTGCAGGTCAAGCTGGATGACAAAAGTAGAGCTAAGGCTGCTTTTACATGACAGATGGCTTGCATTAATTCTGCATCATGCTATTCAGTATGTATAATGCACCAACCGTTTCTAGATGCTAATGGATCTTACACTTATTGAATTGCAATAGGAGAGATGCCTGGTCTATGTCGACAATGTTTTGATGTTTGGCCACCATTTCGAGACAGTGTCTGAGAAACTGACAATGATATTCCAGCACATAATAAAAACAGGCCTGAAACTGAAACCTTGGAAGTGATCTCTCATGCAAACAGAAGCGGAGATTCTTGATCACATTCTCAGGAGAGATGGAGGCCCTGAACCTTGATGTAACAAGAGATAGCAGCATTATTGTCGGTTCTTACAAAAGTGTAAGCACACTTTAACTGGAAAGAGAAGTGTGACCAAGCATTCCAGATCCTAAAGCTTGCTTTAATTAATGCTTCAGAAATAGACCATCAGGACTATAAGTTTCTCCTGGAGTCTGAAGCCAGTAGCAATGGAGTTAGAGCAGTGATATCACAGTTGCAAGATGGAATGAAACATTTAACTGTGTGCACTAGTCATATGCTCATGGTTCCCGAATGCAGATACTGCTCAATGAAGAAGGAGCTCTTGCTATGATAATCTTCACGAAGCATTTTCACAACCACTTGTATGGTAGAAAGTTATCCATCTGAGTGCACCATGCTTTGCTCAAGTAGTTAATGAACTAAACAAATCCAGAGGTGATGATAGTACATTGTATAATATCATTGCAGGAATATAACTATGTCATAGTTCAGTGCCATGATCCTCAACAAGGAAAGATTGATGGACTATGCAGCCACACAGTGAGGCCTTGCCTGTCATGGAATGTCATAATTCTGGATGCCACGTGGAAAATAAAATCACGAACATGTCAGCCATAGTGATAGTTGACCATAAAGTAGATAACACTACTGAAGGATGGTTGCCAAAATTAATGCTTCTGCATCTCTGAGATGAGTAACTGTAGGACCCTGAACTAGCATGAGCACTCCTTGTAGTCCAGCAAGGGAAATTAAGCCCGTCCAACACTAATAGAGGAGCATAGCATAGGTGCGCATAATATTTTACACTTGTATGGACAATTACAGATGCAAGAATGCATGTTGTACAATTTTTATGAGCCCCAAGTAACATGGTGCTCTGACAATGCTACAACTAGTGGTCCCCAGCACTCTTG